GAACTGTCGCCTTTTTATAGCGTCAACATCGGACTCGATGACCAATTAGTGCTTACTGAACCGTAGCACTATGCAAATGTAATGTGGTGTGATTCCTGGCCGACCAATTAGCCATCACCAGCCGTAACGTTATGCAAATCTGTGATTCCCAGTCTAATCATGCCGTGTGGCGTAATTGTCTGCTGACCAATTAGTGGCTGTACTTTCAAAAAGCCAACGGCCACTTTCAACCATCTGTCGATGACCGTTACGACTAAAAAAACTTCGCTAGGTCTTACTTTCAGTGGGAGGTCTTATATTTCGCAATTCAGCAAAATCTGTGCTAGGTCTTATTTTCTGCGGATGTCTTATTTTCGGGGAAACACGGTAGTTAGGTGACATCCCGATTTACGCTACTATTTTTTTTTTTCAACTCTTTCCGCCCTGTGGGCACTAAGAGGGCCTCTTTTTGCAATTTATGCAAATTGCAATTTATGCAATTTATTTGCTTTTTGCTCTTTTTTATGGGTTCAGCCAGGCCCACAATGGGGCTGCCGGGTGGTGAGGGATGAGGCCCGACATATCCGAACGGACCACCCCCCGAAAAATTACTGGAAATTTTTCGACCCGGATTCGAACCCGGGTCACCCAGAGCGGTAGGCTGCCACCTTGACCGCTCGGCCATCTGGCCGCCGATTTACACTACTGTGATTCGCAACTCCTACACTAAAACTCTCATAATCAAAGGCGTCCCCACTGATCTGAATGCACAAGAAATCTACGAACTTCTCCAAGATGATGGCCACTACCCAATTAGAGTGCAGAGATTCAGCAGAATACATGATGGCCAGCGCCTTTCGACCGGAACAATTAAACTCGAACTAGCGACGGATCACATGCCAACGCGTGTCCACCTTTTCCTGTCAGCATATCGCACAGAGTATTATGAAGATGGACCACGGATATACTAGAACTGCGCCCGTCTTCGCCACACCCAACAATTCTGTAGAAGCAAGTCATGCTGCACTAGATGCGGTGACCAGCATAATGGTGACACATGTCCTGCTCCTCACCCATCTGTGTCAATTGTTCCGGTCATCATTTATACACCTCCCCAAGCTGCCCGTCTTATTACATAAAACAACTTATCATTTGCCATCAAAAACAATACAACTGCTCACGTCGTGAAGCACGTACCCACACGCTACGCACTATTAAATAGCGAAGTTGAGCCCGAAGTTTTAAACGCGAAAACGTGTACGTCGGACGCTCAGCGCCGCTTTCCTGTGAGCCTAGAAGTTTGACAATGGTGTTTGGATAGTCAGTGGAATCATACTCGACATTCCAAACACCACTGTCAAACTTCTAGGCTTACAAGAATGCGGCGCTGAACGTCTGACGTACACGTTTTCCCGGTGGAAATGTCGGCCGCAACCTCTCTATTATTATTATCATTAATCAACGTCATAATATTCATTTTTATATTAATTTTAATTTTCACAAAAGGACGCAAAAACAAGAGAAGAGAGAGAAACCACCACACGGCCTTTCTCCACGATAAAAAAATGTGTAGAGCATGAGTCTGCTAGCGTTAAAACAAATATAGATAAATATTTATTTAATTAAAATTCATAAAATTAAAATAATAATGATAAATTAAACTCAAAACATTCATTAAACTTTTTTTTTTAATACATTTCCGCCCTGTGGGCACTAAGAGGGCCTCTTATAGCAGCCCCATTATGGGTTCGGCCAGGCCCACAATAAGGCGGCCGGATGGTGAGGGACAGGGCCGACACATCCGAACGGACCACCCTCCGAAAAATTCCTGGGGATTCCTTGACCCGTACGGTTTCGAACCCGAGACCCCAGAGCGGTGGGCTGCCAACTTGATCGCTCGGCCATCCGGCCGTCGGAAATTTCCATTTAAGAAAATGAAGTTGTCCTCGTTTTCATCGATTGTAGCGCCATTTATGAAACCGATAGCCCCATCTTGTAAGCCCTTCGAAGTCTATCATGTTTTGTTCAATGATTTTTATTATAATACGCGTGCTTTTCTAGTTATTCCAGTGAATGATTTACAGCAATTAAACAGATATTTTAAAAATGAAAACCCCGAAAATACATGATAAAAATGAGCTGTAAGTTAATGAAAATGACTATATCAAACGAATATCTGTATAATATAAGCTGATGTTAGCTGTTTACTTAAATATTTTACATCACACAATATGTTTTCATCGATGTTGCATCGATATTTTTAGTGATAACATTGATTCCTAAAGTTTCATCGCACAGTACTACCATAAGTTATTTGACAGAAAAATTGCTAAACTGTAATAATTTTACGTCAATTAAAATTAAACAAGTTTGGTTGCGGTAAATACTGTAACATAGTGTACAGCATTTATCGTCTTTACAGTTCTTGGGAAAATTTGAAGGCTGATCAGGAATCTCAGGAATTTTTCAGGGAACCATACTCCGTATACGTCGGCCAGTTTTTCACTCCCCGCAGCCTCCTTTGTATGCCTGACTCTTTACTCCCACAAAGAAGAAAGAATTTTTAAAAAACGACTTTTTTATCCCCGATATTACTTTTGTGTCATTATGATATATGTTGGACCTGAAATATGGTTAATTGGACGAAATGTAATTGGAGAAGTGCTAGCATACTATTCAAGTAAATCCACAGTTCGAAATAAGCATAATCCCTAATTATCAGTGTGGGTAAATTGACTCACCGGGAAATCGGAAATATCCCGTTGGGCCGTTCCGTATTTTAATATACTTTATTAATTAATTTTTCTGAAATGAATGTAAACAAAATACTGTATTAAAATTTTAAAAAGTCTTATTGTAATTCAGGCTTAAAGCTGTCGTGGTACATCCCATACGAACAGACGGAAAATGCGGTNGCTTACAATGAAGATTTGAAGAATATATTGTCTTCACCGCAGTTTGAAAAACACGGCAATACCTTTGTACCGCGAAGTAAATCAAAAATTCGAGAATTGGACTGGCTAATGAGGCCGTCGACCCAAGAAAAAAGTATTAGTCTACTAATGAATACGGATAAAGATACTGATGAATATCGACATAAGCAAGGTATCACTGAACAGAAAAGTTTTAAAAATTCAAGAAGTGAAGTTCGGATGCCTTCTTTTGTGAAAAATTACAAAAAATACAAAGAATCGTATTTTATGCGAAAATATGCAAATAAAGAACTCGAATCAAAAGAAGGAATGGAACAAATGGGAAAATTGAATAACAATGCTCGGTTTTCGGAGAAATATCGTTTTAAATCTCGTCTTAACAGAATGTTAATTGGTCCAATCAGGCAGAAAAATGACAAAAATAAAATATCAAAAAGTAGAACTGATTTTAAAGTGAACAGAAAAGTTGCCAAGCAGGAAAAGAAGGTCGTAATGGAGAAAATAGGCCGAGCAATTTCCATAGTATTGGTTGCCTTCGTTGTAGTATCGTTTATATCTCTACTTGCTTCTGCGCTCGTGCACATTTTCTCTAAGATATGTCGCGAAACATCATCTAAACGAGAGAAATACGAAGGACCTCAGTCACCGAAATCCGTCTTCTTCGCCGATATCGATTCATCTCTGTGTGAAGAGGGCGAGATACAGAAATCCGAATCGGCTAGTTTGCAAGAAGAACGTAAAGAAATTGTTTTGTCACTGGAAGAAATACCGGGAGACAATGATATCGAGGAAACAACTCCGTTGTTATCTCCAAAATCAACATCACCGAAAAATAAAAAAGATAAGTATCATTCGTCTTCCTCCAGTGGAGCCGAAACTGTACAGACGATGGTCAAAATTAAAACTCCTGTTTCTGGTAGATATAGCTCTGCATCTTATGCAAGTGATTCGTCTGAGAAAAAGGAAGAAATCGATTTAGACACCGACGTCAAATTATCCAAACAAGTAAACAGAATTAATTCACACGAAGATGAGATTTATGATTTTTTAAAATCTTCCGGAGTGCAGTCTGGAAAAGTCTCGCATCCTCTCCCGAAGACAAATGAGGACACCAATGCATTTCAGGACATAACACAGGGAGTCGAGTTTTCATTAAACAATCAATCGCACGATCTGTACACGGTTCCTACTATAGAATACACCAACCTAGCATCGGCTCTTCAAATGAAAAAAGAATGTTTGAAGAACTTAAACCAAATAACTTATTGTGGAGATTCATATAATAGATCGTCTGTGGATCGTGGTTTAAACTTTAAAGGCGATTTTAAAACAAATTACATGTTAAATGGATTGACTGGCAAAGAATTTGATAAATCTAGAGTGGATCTCTGCACAATTTTTACAAAGCGAGCGAAAAATTAATCGTGGAAGAAGATTTGGCGAAGAAAGAAAGAAATTCACGAAATTAATACAAAGATTTGGCCTCGAAGAGTAGGCCTAATCTATCGAATCATCAATTAAGAAGTCAAAATACTGAAATTTTAGCCAACACAATCGAAAATTTTACTTCTAAAAGAAAAAAAAAAATTATTAATTTAGCCATGGATGAAATTTAGGAATAGAAGTGTCGCCAACCGATAACAAAATTTATTTTTAAATAATTAAATAATTCATTTCCAAATACATTAATATGATTGATTATTTTGTGCGAGTNTCCTGTTTGGACGAAACAAATTTTGCTCGGTATACGACTTTTGTTTGGTATATGACTTAATTCAATTATACACGCCATCAATGAACAAGTAGCACTATCGGTGTACTACACTAGACTAGACGTTCGTGGTGCCACGGTCTATAACTTTGTTAAATTTCTTCTGATTTTAATTCGTAAGTAACATTTTATTAAATGCAGTGTGTAGCGTCTATGTAATCCAAAACGAGTTGGTAGACGAACGGACAGCAATTGGTTAGAAAACGTACGTTTTATTTAAAAAATTCCTAATTCATATGCATTTCGGGTTGGCTTAAATTCCCAATCTCTCTTCAGTGCTGTTAATAAATACAGTGGAACCTCGGTATACGTCTGCTTTAGAATACGTCCAATTCGGAATACGTCCTGTTTGGACGAAACAAATTTTGCTCGGTATACGACTTTTGTTCGGTATACGACATAATTCAATTATACGCGTCATCAATGAACAAGTAGCACAATCGGTGTACTAGACCAGAATTAGGCGTTCGTGGTGCAACGGTTTATGGTAATGCAGCTGTTTTCGTTTGTTTAAAATTTTTCTGAATTAGTAAAGCAAAATCTGTTGTATTTATTGAATTATGAAATGTTCTCATATAGAAAAGTTTATTTGTTTGATATACAGCTGCAGTTGTTATGATTTCCATGGCCGGCGTCAAGAAGCGCTGAAAAAGACATTCCCGATTAAGTGCTCAATTTATGAAATGAGAAAAACTGGAACACTGAAAAAGTGAAATTGCGATCTCAAACGGTCCAAATGTTAACGTTTACATATTTATATGGATTTAGAGTATTGCACGATCAAACGCCTGCGAAGTAGCCATGGTGGTGAGTTTCTCCTCCAACAAGGAACATAGTGTAAGAATAGTGATACCACTTTGCTATACTGTATATACATTGCTGCGCCCTCTGTAGGCAATCCTAAATATTACGCCCTCTGTAGGCAAACTCTAAATAGACGCTCATTCCTGTTCAAGTCCTTGTTCATTAAAGCTGTGTTACCGTTACTCCGTCTCCATCCTTTCGTACCTAATTCCGACAATCATACATACCACACTCTCCACTCAAGGACGTTGGAGAAGCTTACTCGAATATCCATCAGATGTCGTGATTCGTGAAGATGTAGAAGTCTAATTTTTACCATTGAATATCACTAGCAACCATTACTAATTGAACTATAATTTGTGTTAATTTCAATCAAATTTAGATTATTTTATGTAAATTTCACTAAAGTAACTTAATAGAATACGTATATAATTTTTAAAAATATCTTCATTAAACTGATGTTTTCATACTGTAAAAAGGTTTAAAATAAATTACATTTAATAACTAAAGTAATATATAAGCTCATAAACCATCGAAAGCTTTTTAATTNTTTTGCTTAAAACTGGCAATTTTTACATCAAACTAAACAATTTGCTGTACAGTAAAGTATTTTATGCTATAAAATTTATACATTTTCTGAATCTTTTCGTGGGAGTAGAGCTGGCTGGGAAGAAAATTTTTTTACAATTAGCTCTGGTAAAATACAGTGGAAACTAGTGGAGTCTCTATATCTGCTCTACACACACTTTTCATAACAAACAGTTATTCTAATCTGATCTAAAGAAGACCACAGCTTGCTCCTATTCTGTGCTAGTGTGTTTTCTTTAATAAAATCAATTTCTTCATCTGTCAGATGAAAAATTTCAAATACTGTCCCCTGCAGTGATTTAACAGCTGATCCCAGGGTAAGGCAGCTTTTTTGGCATCAAATAGAGTTGTAAGTGGGTTTTTATGGAAAGATGAATTGACACGGTTTGTAAAAGAATTAGAGTAATCATCACTGACAAAATTGCAGCAGTTGGATTATGAACAGAAATTTTTTCAAAAACTATTCAAATTCTCTCTTACTAGGTTTGTTTATACAAGTATTCCAAGTTTTATCACTTGACAAATAAAGTTTTTGTATATATTTTTCTTCAAGGCATTGCCGTTTGCTCGCAGTTGCAGCTGACGTAAAGTTTATTTTTTGTAGTGGTTTGTAACCACAATCTTTTACATGTGGCACTATTCAATTATTTGGTCGGTCAGTACATGTCTGGGAGATCTTATTTTAATTCCTTCTGCATTGGCAAAAAGAATAACACCAACATGAGAGCAGGAAGAAGATTGTCCAGCCACGCAATTGCAATGCCCAGTTATCACCTCTTCATTTTTCTTAGCTAAAAACCCTTACTACTGAAGCTGGCTGCCATAGATTTTGTGAGTGATTAATTAACCTGTGTACAAAAACCATGTAAGAAACTGTGCTATTTACTTCTAATAATATATTTAAACAATAATAGGTTATTAAATCACACTTCTAGCCCACAACATAAATTAAGATTAAACTAATTAGTCTAATAAACCTCCAATTTATTATAGCCACATTTATCAAATCAGGGACTGATTAGAGCAAAATAGAGCAAAATAGACTAAACTTTTACAAAAAATAGCCTTTAATTAACCACAATCAAATTTTTAGTAGAATGCATTTNGCGGTAGCATATATACAATTTAAAATAAAATAGATAAAAAGGAAAAAGATTACATTCACAATATCAGTTTTTGGTTGTATGGACATTATGCACTATTCTCTAATAAAGTTCTTTTTGACCATATATTTCTATGCTGTGGCATCGTTATAGTTGATACATCTGCCCAAAAGGTTACTTCTATAACTTTCAACTTTTTCCAAATTCATCGTGAGTGTACCGGTTTTACAATGCTAGCTTCCTCCCTTTCTACCACTGAGCCTTCGCTTTGCGCCATTCTAGACAAAGCCGTAAAAGGCTTTGTCTAGAATGCCTTTGTCTCAATATTTTACGTATGTTCTTTAAGACGTTTATTAGGGTTTCTGTTTGTAACCCTTATGTATTCTTTCTCCAAACCCAATTGTTCATTTTTATACGACATTCTGTATACTCCAGCCTGCTCTCGTTTTTTAACTTTATCATTCCTTAAAAGGTTATAAATGGTGGGCGCTCTCTTGAAAATCTCTCTGGGAATCTTGATAAAATGCTATTTCATTCATAACACCGGTCATGTTCTTGTTATATGTAAATTATATATTATATTATATATTATGTAAATTATATGTAAATTATATGTTACGGAGGTGATGGATGGCCGCCATCGGTTAGACGAAACCTGGCCATCTTTCTCCATCCATTTACATCTCCACAAAGACTGTCTTTATCAGAAGGCTGTAAACGTGAATTAAGTCCAGGACCACGCGTTAAACTAAAACAACATTTATTTACAACAATTCTCGAGTACACTTGAAAGAGAGCTACACGTGCTCATGGCAGCGATCACCCGACAAGAAGAAGTAACAATACCCAGAATTCTCTCTGGGAAAAACCTAGTCCCCGTTTTTCAATCCGGGATTCACGGGAAACTCCTAGAGGAGTGGCGCCATCTCACCAGTCCGTGATTTGTCGCCGCAGTTATATGTTATTTTGTTCTTTCTTGAAACCATTCTCTTTCTATTCTCCATATAACTTCTTATAAATTTTTCAATTACAAACCCTAGACCAGATATGGAAACCTTAGGGACACGTGGACTCGATTAACTGTATACGAACTTCCGATGCAGACCGGAAATCACGTTANATAATAATGATAAATTAAACTCAAAACATTCATTAAACTTTTTTTTTTAATACATTTCCGCCCTGTGGGCACTAAGAGGGCCTCTTATAGCAGCCCCATTATGGGTTCGGCCAGGCCCACAATAAGGCGGCCGGATGGTGAGGGACAGGGCCGACACATCCGAACGGACCACCCTCCGAAAAATTCCTGGGGATTCCTTGACCCGTACGGTTTCGAACCCGAGACCCCAGAGCGGTGGGCTGCCAACTTGATCGCTCGGCCATCCGGCCGTCGGAAATTTCCATTTAAGAAAATGAAGTTGTCCTCGTTTTCATCGATTGTAGCGCCATTTATGAAACCGATAGCCCCATCTTGTAAGCCCTTCGAAGTCTATCATGTTTTGTTCAATGATTTTTATTATAATACGCGTGCTTTTCTAGTTATTCCAGTGAATGATTTACAGCAATTAAACAGATATTTTAAAAATGAAAACCCCGAAAATACATGATAAAAATGAGCTGTAAGTTAATGAAAATGACTATATCAAACGAATATCTGTATAATATAAGCTGATGTTAGCTGTTTACTTAAATATTTTACATCACACAATATGTTTTCATCGATGTTGCATCGATATTTTTAGTGATAACATTGATTCCTAAAGTTTCATCGCACAGTACTACCATAAGTTATTTGACAGAAAAATTGCTAAACTGTAATAATTTTACGTCAATTAAAATTAAACAAGTTTGGTTGCGGTAAATACTGTAACATAGTGTACAGCATTTATCGTCTTTACAGTTCTTGGGAAAATTTGAAGGCTGATCAGGAATCTCAGGAATTTTTCAGGGAACCATACTCCGTATACGTCGGCCAGTTTTTCACTCCCCGCAGCCTCCTTTGTATGCCTGACTCTTTACTCCCACAAAGAAGAAAGAATTTTTAAAAAACGACTTTTTTATCCCCGATATTACTTTTGTGTCATTATGATATATGTTGGACCTGAAATATGGTTAATTGGACGAAATGTAATTGGAGAAGTGCTAGCATACTATTCAAGTAAATCCACAGTTCGAAATAAGCATAATCCCTAATTATCAGTGTGGGTAAATTGACTCACCGGGAAATCGGAAATATCCCGTTGGGCCGTTCCGTATTTTAATATACTTTATTAATTAATTTTTCTGAAATGAATGTAAACAAAATACTGTATTAAAATTTTAAAAAGTCTTATTGTAATTCAGGCTTAAAGCTGTCGTGGTACATCCCATACGAACAGACGGAAAATGCGGTCTCTTATTTAAAATTTTTAAAGTGATTGGTCCCGATTTGGAGTAGGCT